AAAAAAACAAAAAACAAAAGGTCAGAAATGACTCAAAATGTTTCCACAATAATGCAATATTAGTCTAAAATGACTAAAACTTGTCCAAAATGCTTAGAAACTAGTCTAAAATGATTAAAAATGTGTCCAGAATAATGCAAAGTTGGTACAAAATAACTCAAATCTGGCAAAACATTAAAAAAAATATTCCAAAAATGACTCAAAATTATTCTGAAATTAATAAAAAATGATCCCAAATGTGTCCAAAATGGTGCAAATGTGGTCTGTAAACGACTAAAACTGTCCAGAGTGCTTAAAAATGAGTCTAAAATGATTAAAAATGTGTCCAAAGTAATGCAAAGTTCAAACAAAATGACTCATGATTAGTCAGTCTGAACTAGTCCTTGTGTATGTTCTTGTTTCGTTCTTCTGCTGATGTTTCCTGAATGTCTTCTCCGTCCTCTGAAGGCTCGTCGTATCGCATCACATCGTTCTGAACGTTACCCTCCGTCTCTCTGCAGCTCGGCCTCCTGCCGCCGGATGGATCCTCTGGGCGCTCGCTCCCAGTTCGTGGACGTCCAGACTCTGCCCACGTGGCAGCAGCAGCTGGGCGAGGACGGCGAGGAAGCGCCGCCTCAGGACCGCAGCGACGGCCCGCTCGGCCTGCACGACTTCCCGTCGCCGTTCCCCTGCCGGCCCGACATCAACCGCAAGATCATCCTGTTGTGAGTCGGAGGGCTGGTTCCTGCAGCTTCATCTAACTACTGCTTACTGAGATGTTCTAAACCAGAATAATATGAAAGATTTCCACAGTTTGTTGTTTGTGAGAAGCTCAAAGGACGGATGAAGGTTGCCTCATTTTCAGCTGGTAAAAGGCTCAAATTCAGCCCTGAATCCAAGTGTTTCCCTCCAGATCAATACCCCAGAGTTTAAAAAGAGTTTGATTTTCTTTCTGCGCAAGTTATTAAATAAAACATATAACATCTGGGCTCACAGGAAACATTAGAGTTTGAGCTAAAAGTTCGTACAGAAGCTGGCGTCATGATGAGTTTTTATTCGCTCTAATCCGTGGATCGATGTTTGAAGACACATAACTGGAGAAATAACGAAGCTACAGTCCTGAAATAACACAGATTCACTGATATGTACACTTTAATGGTTCAACCGAATCACACAAACCAGCTCTATGATGCTGCAAAACTGGTCAAATTATTGTTTTTTTCTATTCTGATATTCCACCAGCAATTAAAACCTGATTTATTCATTTATTCCTGTGATTGGCACCAACAGGAGCTTTAAAGGTGTGAAGTATGGAGCCAGTGAGACGCTACTTTATGAGCAAAGATATTAAAATTCTGTGTTTCTTATGCATTTATGGTGAATATTTGAACAAACATTGAGCAGCTGTGATGATCAAACTGCTTTGAAAGCAGGAAAAAAAAAAGAAAAATCAAGGTTTTCCCTGTTATAGTGCTTTGAATAATTTAATCAACTCAAATAAAATAAAAATAAAATAAACATATCAGCCAGATTGATGATGGTCAGACATGGAGCAGTAAAGAAACCACCAAATATTCAAATTCAAGAAGCCAGAATTGGAGAATTTAGAGTTGTTTTTTTTTTTATCATTATTTAAAATCGACAAATCTTATGAGCTTTTTTTTTTTTTACTTGTGTGTTTGGTGTCATTATTTCAGATTCAACACATCGGCTTGTTTGAACTCCAGGTTTCTGTCAGTGAAATACTCCTTTATGTGCATTTAGTGTCAGTTTTGGAAAAGATTCCTGAATTCACAGCTTCATAAAACATGTTAAACTGAATTTATCTGACGTTTTTCTCTTTGAATCAGCGTTCCTGGTGCAGCGGAATCATCTTTGCTACGACTAGAGATGTTGTTAAAAGAAAATGTAGGACAATGAGGAGAAAGAGAGAAATGACATTTAATTATAGCGTCCAAGAGAATCCGGCAGCAGCAGCAGCTTCTTGTGTGTTGGCTCTAGTTTTGTGTTGCTGTGTGCAAACGCTGCTTTTTGCACGTGCTCAGTAGGACCAGTCCAGAGTCCAGAGCACTTCATAAATCCTCTTTGTGCAGGAACACATGACCGCCGGTTTCTCTGTGAGGCCTTGTTGTCGGGAGGAAACACATTCCTGCTGCGATAACATGACCGAGCTCGAGAGCGCTCGACCCTCCGGCGCTCGCACCTTTCTCAGCTCGTGAAAACACTGGTGACCCGTCGCTGGAGGTCGCACATGTAGACGAGTGGCGAACACCCCACTGCTGGTCCTTTTTTGTACCTCTGCGCTGATGGTAACTGTGTTTAGAGGCGTCATTTAATCAGGTTTAGGATGTTTGAAGACAATATCACCGATAATTATTCAGCGTGCGACAAAACAAGACATTTGAGGACAATGTACCACCATCACTCCAAGATTTAATGACACAATTTAGTCCGAAATGACTAAAACTTTTCCAGAACGCCTAAAAAATGTGTCTACAATGACCCGACGTGTGCAAAATAAGGCAACATTCGTACAAACAGACTCAGAATTTCTCCGGAATGACTCAAAATCTGTACAAAATTGGTCTGAAATGACTCAGAATGTGTCCAGTGTGACACAAATCTTGTCAACAATTAACGGGAAACGATTCCAAATTTTTCCAAAATGACTAAAAATGAGTCTAAAAGTATTCAAGATGCGTCCAAAATAATGTGAAATTTGTTAAAATATGTAAAACCTGTCCAAAGTGCTGAGAAGTTAGTCTGAAATGGCTTAAAATGTGTCCGAAATAACACAAACTTAGTCCAAAATTACTAAAAAATGACTCAGAATGTGTCCAATCTTGTCAGCAATTAACTGGATTAGTCCAAAACAATTCCACATTTTTCCAAAACGATTAAAAACTAATCTAAAATAATTCAAGATGTGTCCGAAATAATGCAAACTTTGTAAAAAAAAAAAAAACAACTTAAAATTAGTTGGTAATTATTCAAAATGTTTCCAAAATAATCCAAACTTTGTGCAAATTACTCAAAATTTGTCCAAAATGATTCAGAATTAGTCCAAAATTACTAAAAATTAATCAGAAATTATTCAGACTGTTTCCAAAATAATGCAGCATTTGTTAAAATAACTAAAACCTGTCCAACAGTGCTTAGAAATTAGTCTGAAATGGCTGAAAATGTGTCCAAAATAATCCAAACTTTGTGCAACATCACTCAAAATTTGTCCAAAATTACTCCAAAATAATACAAAATTTGTACTAAATGATTGAAATGAAAATTTGATGACACAATTTAGTCCTAAATGACTAAAACTTTTCCAAAATGCCTAAAAAATGAGTCTGAAGTGTCTCAGAATGTGTTGAAAATAATGCAGAACTTGGAGACCACGTCGTCTAAAACCTGTGCAATACCACTGATATTTGCAATTTAGTTTAATGTGTAGAGCAATTCAGACAGTCGGAATTACATGCTGTTCTGGTTTATTTTTGACCTTTTTAAGCTTGTGATGCTGGAAACAAAAACACTTGTGCTCTATCAGAGGAGGCTGCACATGTAGACGAGTGATGAAAATCCCACCGTTGGTACTTTTTTTTTATACCTATAGCTGTTCTTCTCTATTTTCTTAATCGTTCAGTGTCCTGCCACTGTTATTGCCCACGTAGGTCCATATCTTAAAACATTGTGCTTTTCCAGACACTCTTAGGCAGTAGCCGTTAGCGTAGCCTTAGCCGCTGCAGCCAACGTCCTGATTTGTGGAGACGTTTGTGGATCTTTTTCAGTTTTTGCAGGTTGTGTCTCCGTTAGAGAGTCGCGTCTTCGAGTTAGAACAGTGTTAAAGTTAATCTGACTTTAGGAAGATGTCACAGCGCTCCAGATAGTGTTAGCTGCAGGCTAAGGGGCACAGCAAACCTCCTAGCAATAGCCGAAGCGCAAACCTTCCGGTGTGTCTGCTAACTCACCCCCTAAAAAACAACTCCTCATTCGCTGGAGCTGCAAATGTGCTTCTCTGTCTCTCTGCGTAAACAATAGCTTTCAGTGAATGGCTGCTACCAATCAAAGCTGCTGAATCAAAGCCACAAGTGTGCATTTAATTCATTTTGGGATAAAAATAACAATACCAGTAATCTGAAAATGCCAGATATCGGCCTCTGTAATCGGTCGATCCCTACCCTTAATCTCTGATTGGTAATGGAGGTTTTGTCGAGCCAACTAGCGCAAAGAAAGTCTGGTGAACTTTCTTCATATTACAGCAGAAGTTTTACTAACATGGATAAGAAATAAAGCTCAGTTCAGTCAGTTAGATTCTGTGCCATGTTCTGTTTTTCTTTCTGGGGTCGTACTGGAGCCATAGCAGAACTGGGTTAGGACTGAGACGTATCGCCGATTTTCATACAAAATCTAACTTTATTTACTATTTTAATAAAGCAACTTGCGAGTATATTTTGTTTCCGACCTCCTAATCGGCCAAATGTTTATGGTTTCGTTCTCAGGTTGCTGTCGATGCGGCCGTTTACAACCGAACCGCTCCCACGCTGTTGCTTCGGCTTTGTTTGTTGCTGTCGTCGTCGTGACGCGCAGTAAATCCGTCAACGAGTCGCGATTTGCATGCCGCAGTTTGACACGTTAAACACAAGCTGAGCGCGAACAATCTTGTTCCCTAAACGGAGAGTAAATGAGAAGTTGTCGTTCTGCTTCACTGGGAATGTTTGTCAGTCACAGATTTTTATACAGAGGATAATAAAACAGGAAGTGTGACTCTGGGCCATCGCTGCTCCTCAGTAAAAGTTATTTTCGTTTCTCGCGGCCTGGTTGGCTTCACACTGTGACTCTTTTTATTATTATTACTATTACTAACTGTAAAGGGATGATCTAGAACCACACTCTTCCTTCTCGGTCCCGGTGGCTGAAACTGTCTCGTGATCAAATGCTTTCAACACTCGCTCCAGTGTTTCCTCATCGCTGTTTCCCAACAAACCCCGAAAGGCTGAAGCAATAAAGGATGCGTGATGCTGTGGCTAAACATCTCCACGGTTGTGTGCGGTTTAAAGATCATACGTGTGAATATATACTTGGGTTGGCTCCGTGCAAATACACTGCATGTCTGTTTTCACCTCCTGAACCCACAAACCTGTCGGCGGGTTTGAAAAGCAAGTTGTTGTTTTTAAAAAAAATCGCCAACATTTCACTGTTTATTGGAGCCAGAAACTATAAAAACAGAGAAAATAGTTGGATTTTATGGATCCTACATCAGGAAGCAAGTAAATCTAAGCTAAAAATTATATTTTATAAAAATCCCTTTATTCTGCACGTCTTATTTGAAAATGTAAAGCAAAACATTCTGCATTCATCAATGCTACTAGGAATTTATTTTATAAAAGGGGGGACTGCAGGCCGTGTACACGGAGTTAAAAATGTGTGCAAACGTTAAATCAGCGTTTGGAAGTAAGAAAAAAATCTCACAGTGCAGATATTCAGGGATTCACAGCAGTAAATACTGAAGTAGAAGTAAAACACTGACGAGGATCTAGCAAATTTAACGTGTTTCTGATGATGAATAGTTGATAAGTACGAAATATGGTGTAGAAGAAAAATGATAAAATGAAAATAAAATATAAATAAGAATAAATAAAACTAACAGTTAATAATAAAAATGAAATAAACAAAAATTAAATACATAAAAATTTCATAATAAAAAATGAAATAATAAATAAATAAATAAAATAAAAGCAAAAATAAATAAGGAAATAATTGTAATATCATAATAAATACAAATAAAATAATAAAC